TCTAACTTCATAAAAAATTTTTTAAAATTAACCACAAATTGTTATTACCTGCATCATGTATGAAATCAGATATTAAACGATTAATGGTAATAGTTACAACAATATAAATAACAATAACATTACTCAGTTATAAAATAATACAATTGGACGGTTATATGTAACAAAAGATGTATTCCGCATTTTTATGAAATATCTTAAATCTACGATGAAAATTGGCTCAGTTAAGTGGAACGGTTTAGATCCTAGAAATAATTTAGTAGACCTTTTTCTTTTAGTTCCTTTTGTCAGTTGTTAATTATTGATGCACGAAAATTCTAAACCAAATATGCCACGCATATTTTTCAGTTTAATGTTGATCTATGGTACACTCTATTGCACAAGTATATCCTTCTTCCATTTTTGTTATCTCGCGTTACCCCGAAATTTATATCATTTTAAGTACTATATTACAGTACTACGCAATAAATGTTAATGACACCATTACAATGTTTATAATAGACTGAATAAATAAATTCCATGACGAAAGTGAAAGCAGTGAGGAATAAAGAAATCAGTACATAAGTTTTTATAGTCACAGATACTTTTTGAGTATACAAAAATGTATAAAAAAACAATGTGTTAAAAGTTAAATGCAGTATGTAATGGTGTTCAATAATTCCCTGAAAAATCTTAAAAACACTGTTGAAGAATTTTCATGTATCCTGTACACATCATAATCTACTGTATAAATTATTGCACATTATATGTTAGGTTTTGACAAATGTCAAACTTAAGTTTAATAACAGGCTTAAATAAAAATCATTTCATATTTACGAAAAAAAAACATCTAATTCGGCATAAAATTGATTTGATTGCATGCCTTTTTATGGGATGGAAGGTTTAAATGGAAAAGTTTAAGCAGGTATTTCCGTTATTTATGATCGTACAAAAACAGCTCTAGCAAAAAGTTGAACTACTTTTTTGTACAAAATAAAATTTCATTGAAGATAAATAAAGTTGATTTTAGAATTTCATTCAAAAAATGATATTACATACACCCCTTGTGAACTAGTATGAGATTATTATAGGAGATTTTTTTCATATGGCCATATATAACGAAGATTTTCAGGTGTTTCCATTTAAATACTCCACTCTGTATACAAAGTAAACTTTAAATGTTATGTCAGCAACAAAATTTCAAGTAGACGTATTTCTTAAAATAAACGAATATCGAATGTGTTTTAATTTCAATCAC